CATCTAATCTAGCTTGAACTCATACTACCTGTATAACACCTGGAAAGGCTGCTCTCAGGTGATGCCACATTCGCAGGGATCAGGGCCCAGGACTTCAGTGTGCCTGTTGTTCACTGTGCAACACCTGTCCTTTCTATGGTGACCAACGTGCCCTCAGGTGTTCGCTCAAAACTCCCCCAGACAGCCCAAATCTTGAAACATTGGTCAGTCCCAAGCAACTGGGACAGTTACCAGTCACCCACAGTCACCCTCATCATGTCTCGACAGTCTCTTGCCTCCAGCCCTGCCTGTACCTCTGGCTCCCTGCCTCAGACAGTTCCCACAACACTGCATTTGTTGGTGGTTGCTGTTCATGACCTTTTTTGCCAGGCAGTGTGTAGGCAAAAAAACCTTCTGGATTGCCTGAGCAGACTTTGGGACCAAACCAGGTGACCTTGAATTCCAGTCATGCCACTCGGCATCGAGGTCGGGGGCGGAGTCATCTTAACTTCCCTGATGACTGTCATGGTCTTGTCTTTGAAACAAGAATGGTGCCTGTTTTTTTTTGCTTTGTTTTTGTTTTGTTTTGTTTTGTTTTGTTTTGTTTTGTTTTGCAAGAGGGATCTTAAAAGACACCCTGCATGGTGTCTGCATGGGAACTGCAGCAAAGCTGCTTGTTGTGATCGTGACTACTGAAAAGTTGTTGTCTGTCCTGATATCCTAGACAGAGAGACAGGAAGGAAGAGAAGGAGGGAGGAAGGGAGGGGGAGATGAGGGAGAATACCAACACTTCCAGGGCATTCGCGGCCAGACACAGAAAACACCAGAAGGAACAGTCTATATCAGATGCTTTGATGAGATCTTAAGACGCCAAAGAGTGACATGTGTCCCCAGGATGTAGGAAGCCACTACTTCTCAGCTGAGAGCCACTACCACACATGCAAGAGAACATCTTAGATAGGTGTTTTCGCTGTCATGGAAGACAGGCTTGAACCCAGTGTGAAGGATGGAGAGGCACTTCCTAAGCATGGACACATAGTTCTGGCCACTTCTTCACAAACGTATAGATTATTATGGCGGAAATGAGTCATTCCAACTCCGAGCACCTTCTTGTGATAAATGAGTTGAATAGCTGCTTCTAAACCTAACCTAGAACTTCATTAGGTCATAATTTCATCACCTCCAGAGCATGCTGGGTTTTTGTGGCCTTGTGTTTAGGCAATGCATGCCCCTCCTCTGAGCCCACCCAACCACACCACTACAAAGTAGGCCATAGGTCCACTCTGTGCGAGCCAGAGTCAGAATTCCCAATGTATTTCTTGTTTCCTTGCTCTGGGAAGCAGTTCTGATTCAGAGCAGTAAGAGGGAAAAAAAAACGAAGATTTTTTTTTCTTTAATCTCAAGGGCCTTTTCCTAAAAGTAGTATTTTGCCAAAATTGCCTCGTATTTTTAGCATAATTTAACATTCTACTGTATTGTGAGAAGAAATTTTCCTCCCTGAAACAAAAATCTGAACCACTTTAATGGTCGTCTAATGACATAAAAGATGTGTTTTCAGAGGCGACGTGACTGTGACTAGCAGCACCCCTGACAGCTGGAACAAAACAGGGATGTGAAGAGGTGGTGGCAAGAGCCGAGTATCCACCCCAAGTGAGGCTCCACTCCACCCACAGATTCCGTGAGCTTGTGTCTTAACTGATGCCTGGCCCAGTTCCCGCCCTCATTAGCATTGACTTGACCGGCTCACGTCCTCAGTCCAAGCCAGGGTCCAACGCGGGGCAAGGCAGCTTTGGAGAAGAACGTGCTGCTGAGTTTCCATCCCCTCCTGCCCCTCCTTCCAGCAGCATGAACATGGCAAATAACACGGACTGTCCTGGCAGGAGTGAAGACAGTCTAAGGAGAGACACTTATGCCCCACCCATTGGCACCAATAAAGCAATGTACTGCAAGGAATCTCGTAATTCAGGCAGGGAAAGGCTAAAGCCATGGTGCCAGCCGGAGGACATCCTGGTTCCAGGGAAAGAGCTTTCACTGAGTTCTGACAACTTACCAGACCAATGTGCAGGATGAAGCCAATGTTGGCAATGAAGGCAATGTTGATTAATGACAGGTCAGGTACAGGACTGCTTAGTTATGCATACCTCTTGTCTTCTTAGTTAAACCTAAACCTCGTTTCAAGACCTCCAAGAGTGGCTTGTGACTCACTGGACATCATTATTTGTTCCTTTGCCCAGTGTGGCCACTTCAATACATCTCCCTCTGCTTTTTTTAAAAAAGATTTATTTATTTATTTATTTATTTATTACGTATACAGTATTCTGTCTGCATGTGTCCCTGCAGGCCAGAAGAGAGAGCCAGATCTCATTACAAGTGGTTGTGAGCCACCATGTGGTTGCTGGGAATTGAACTCAGGACCTCTAGGAGAGCAGTCGGTGCTCTTAACCACTGAGCCATCTCTCCAGTCCCCTCCCTCTGCTTTTAAACACCCTTTGTCTCTGAGTTGTATCTTGAGGATGGATGGCTGAGCCTAGGTAGATAGAGCTGCCAAGGACCAGGCTCTGATCCTAACGACTCCAGTAACAACCTGACTCCAGCTTGGGTTTTTTTGTTTGTTTGTTTGTTTGTTTGTTTGTTTGTTTGTTTGTTTGTTTTTCATCTGTAAAGAGGAACAAGGCAGGCCTGTAAATGGCCCCAAAGATCTGGCTCTGTAGTGGGGCAGAGTAAATGTTCATTTGCAAAAGCTCCTCCCTTCTTCTCCCTCCCCAACCTGACTCTGTAACAGCCTCCTTCTGCAGAGCCAGTGATTGGTACTGCGACTTCCAGCGCGAGAACAAGGAAAGAGGGGTGGTGAGCAGGCATGTCTGCCTCAGTTCTGTACCTCCCCTAGGCCAGTACCCTCAGGAAGAAGGCCTATCCTAGCTATGTGCTGCTATCATGAAATGCCACGGGCAGGGTTATCTTTATGAGGCTGGAAGTCCAAGACCAAGGGATCGGTGGATCTGGTGGAGGCTGTTCTCTGTTTCCAAGATGGTGCTCCCCAGTGTCTTCTCACGTGGAAGAAGGTGAAGGGTGAGAGGAGGCTGCCTAGTTCCCTTCATCTCAGTATGAGGTTTTGAATCCCATTTGTGATGGATCCACCCTTATGATTTGGTCACCCCATAAAGGCCTCACCACATTGTGAATTCAGCCCCAACACATTGGTTTGGAAAACTGCATCAGGGACCCAACAGCACTTTTCATCTGGGGGTCCCTCTGTAGACTCGGTGCCCAAGAGATGGAGTCTCTCCCCCTACTTTTCCTACACTTTTGTCCCTGAAACTCACAAAGAAGGGGACAAGTGTCCTATCCCCAGATGTTGCAGGTGCTATGGGTTAACTGGAGTCTGTGAAACAGAATAATCCAAGAGGCCTCATGATGTCCTTTGGGGAGTGAAGACAAGCACATAGTAACTCAGAAGATGGTAAAGACATCCCGGACAGCTCCAGGAGTGCCCTGGCTAGGGTAGAGAGCCTTGGGACACTCTTGGACTCAGTAAACATCCACTGCTGGTCCTCTGTCTATCCACAACTCCCTGCATTCTGGCCATGCAAGAAAAACAGCAATGTCCACCCTCCCATAGCTTACCCTCAGTGGGGAGAGAATTAATTAACAGGCGGTTCTATGCTCTATGATCCATAATGATGCATGATTAGAGACAGTGAATCAGGTCTGGAGGGCACCCTCTCAAAACAAGAGTTAGAGAAAGTCTCTCTAAGGAAGGACCCATAGGCAGAGAAAGTGAGAAAGCAGAATGTACAGGTGTTTTTGACAATTGTGCCAGGAAGACAGTTGATGGCATGTGCAAAGGCCCTGGGGCATGATATTAGGAACAGCCATCAGGAAGGTAAAGCTGGAGCAGAGAAGAAAGGAAATGACCTCAGAGAAGTAAAAGGGACTAGAAATAGAATTGGTGAAAACCCTGGCGTTGCTTCTTGGGAAATGACACCCCAAAACCATTGTCTCCTTGTCTTTGATCAATGATGTCTGTAGTCCAAAGAAGTCAGGCCCGGCAGCTGTAACCAAGAAGACTTTGAGAGCTAAGGAGTTGGGCTCTCATATAGCCAAAGGTTGGTGTGAACTACCCGTGAAGTCAAGGATGACCATGAACTTAGGGTCCTCCTGCTTCTACTCCTGGGACTGCAGGTGTGTACTTAGCAGCCAGCAAGTCCCAGGAATCCCCCTGTCCCAGCCCCTACTCCCAGTTCTGGGGTCACAGGGAAGTGGAGTGTGCAACCACACCTGGCATTTTACCTGGGTGCTAAGGATTCCAACTTGGCTCCTGGTGATTACTCAGGAGCCATCTCTCAAGCCCAGGAAGCCTTTTATTGAACAAACCTTTACTGAGAGCCAAGTACCATGTCAGGGGCCACAGAGGCTCGAAGAGTCCCTGGGAAGCCCAGCATCTCACTGAGGTCTAATTAGGACACAAGCAACCGTGACTATGCCCAGCATCTATCTTCTGGTCTTTCTGTTTTTGTACAAGGCTGTACCAATGAGTGAGGTAGATCTTCTGTGTACCAGGGGAACAATATATATCCTTGATACCATGATCCATATTTTTCCTACAAACTGGGGATTTACGGTTCTCTTGTGTGTCATGGGAGAGGGAAGAATGTGGTCATGGTAAAATGAACCTAAGATAATATTCATCAAGGATTACATTTTCCTTCCTTAATGGTCAGTTTTTAAACACCTACTTTGGAGAAAAAGAATACAGAACAATAAAGACTGAGTTTTGTTGTTGTTTTTTCTCATCTTGATCATGGCGGGTAACTGATTTATCTCCACTTCCTTTGAGACTGGTTCGAGTATCATGTGGCTCCACCTGGCTCTTGCAGCAGCAGCCGCCACTGTGGGGTTTTACCTAGCACTCCTGGCGCATGAGTACTAGCTGCAGAGGAGAATCTTGCAATGTGGCTTTACAACCCGCTAGCTCGTTTGCTGACTGTTTACGGGCTGTTTTTGTCTCTACTTTTCCACAGAAAAGCCTGGACTCCTACTGCTTCCTTGTCTTTGCCGCGGTGTGTATCACAGGGGCTATCTACTTTTATTTTGTCCTCCCTGAGACCAAGAACAGAACCCATGCAGAAATCAGTCAGTCATTCGCCAAGAGGAACAAGGCTCACCCCCCAGAGGTGAAGACTGACTCAGCCATGGCAGAGGAGAAGGCTAACAGCCAGCCTGAGCCAGATCCATCCTCCACGCTAGACAGCCATGGCCAAAACCAAATGTCTAAATGTGTGTTCTCACTTCAGTAATCCAAGGCTTTCCCAAAACTTAGAAGGTTTCAGCTGATTGAAGCCATATGAGACTGTTGTACTGGGGTGTTAGGAAGAAGCCTGAGGGAATCAGACCTCACATCTGTTTCTTCACAGCTGCCCCTTCCAAACTCCCCTTGGAAGCATTCCCTAGGTTTGGTACTTTCAGCATTCTATACAGACCAAAGGCTGCCTCCTTCATGACTGAACTTGTAGTTTTGAAATAAAGTTGGAGGAAAGGCATCAGGTTGCCCACTCAGAGGAAAGTCTTCTGGTCTGATGGACACTCGTCGTAAAGGGAATGACAGCCGGGGCTTGTCCAAGCTGTGCTGTTGCTAAGCAACCCTGCCCAACCTGCCCTTGGCCTCCAGTCTCTAAGGACCTGGACCTTGGTCCTGCCTGGAAGTGTTCCAACTTCCATGGGAAGATTCTTTGTCCACACTAACAAATGCCTGTTGCTAATCTGCCTCTACCCTGTGGACTTGAGGCTTAGGAACACCTCATTCCAACCCACCATGCTGCTGATCCTACCAACACAGGCTTTGTCCCCAGCGCTCAAGGCTGCCAGGTCTGGGGCTGTCTTTAGTTCAGACTATTACAGAGAGCACACAGAAGAACAATAAATAATATGAGAACAAACTTTCTGGAAAGTAGGGGGCAGAGACTGCAAGTTGAGCTCTGACACTGAAAATGACTCTAAGACTAAACCTAGGTTTGATGGGAAAGAACACTGGGATTGATTGGTAATGCCTGCCCTGGATGCAGAAATGACAGTCTCTGCTCCTGAGCCTCGCGTTTGTAATGTGAAGGAGATTCATCTTCAGAAGTCACAAGCTGCCTGGAAAGACACTCGCCGTCACTCATAGTGCTCAGGTGAAGGCTGGGAGAATCACCTGCCTTAACAGTTGTTAATGGAGTCCAAGAGTCGGTTCTAGAGTAGGGTGTTTGAGTGGGTGTCTGGTTGGAGCAACTTGCATTTTGCCGTCATTATGTGTAGCTCATCGTTTGGCTGAGTCCCTTCTTCTGCCTCTAAAACAAAGTGCCTATGTAGCTGAGAGTTTTCCTGTGTCCCACCTGGCCTGCAGTCAGGACAAATATCTCTCACTCATCAGTCCCGCAGCCGCTCAGACCCAAGTAAACACACAGTTATTTACAAACTGTATGGCCATTAGCTCAAGCTTATTACTGACAAGCTCTTACACTTAAATTAACCCATAATTCTTATTTATGTTTAGCCACGTGGCTTGGTACCTTTTCTCAGTTCTGCCTTCACATCTTGCTTCCTCTTGTCTGACTGGCAACTCCTGACTCAACCTTCCTCTTCTTCCCAGAATTCTCCTTGTCTGCTTATCCTGCCTATACTTCCTGCCTGGCTACTGGCTAATCAGCATTTTATTTATCAACCAATTAGAACAACACATTCACAGCATGCAGAGCGACATTGCCCATCATACCTATGACAAATGTCATAAGTAAATGGTAGGTACTTAAAGTGGCATTAGTGTGTGTAAGTTTAAGATGCATGGTACCAGACAGAGAAGTCCCCAGGCCAGGCAACACTGCTGTTTTCCTGACTATTCTAGATGAGGGTGACCTTAACCAAAACCTGTGCTCTGATTTTTCCTGCCCTGTTGAAGACTCTTCATCTGGGCCTCTTCATGGGTGCATTCCCAGCTCAGAGCACCATGCCATGCAGCATTGGTTTGAACAGTGTGTTTAAGTATGGAGAGAACGTAACACATGGATTTGACAAATGCCCGTCACAAAGGGAGCCGAGTAACTTGTAAAACAGAAATCCTAACATCTGAAAGCTGTCCTTCACTTGGAGATTTACGTATTCTGTCAATAAATATTTATTAGTCAGTAACCAGTCTGCTTTGGCTGGATACTGAAAATACATCTATGAGCAAGGAAATACCAGGCTGTGACCTAGACACTGTCATGTCTGACAGAAAAGATGGAAAGTCAAAGCACCAACGATGAGGTGTAGTGTGATCAGTACTGGGGTAACAGTGGTATGGGAACTTCCGACAGGAGGAAGAGTTGGGGTGGCAGCTGAGAGTGCCTTCTCAGACAAGGGACAGAGCAGAGCCAGGACCAGTGTGACCATGAGGTCAGAGGTGGTTATTGCATGTTCTTATATTTGAAATTATAATAAAGCCACACTAAGGGCACTTTTTGAAAAATGAATCTCATAATAAAACTGATCATCTCACATGCTTCATTGTTTTACTTTTTGCACAGCCCTGTTCATTTCCTGCCTGGTGTTAATCCACTTACACACACACAGAATATATAAAACACAATTACAATGATCTTTCTCTTATCTCCTTATTTTTCCCACTTGATATTAAATACATCATCTGAACCCTGAAGACTTTTGGGCACATTCTGGTGCCCGCCACAGAGGCAGAGAATTTCTTACCATAGAAATCTGTTTCTCAGATGCTGGAAGAAAAAGGGGAACCAGGAATCAGAGCCAGGCGTTCACTGGGGGCCTGCAGGCCAAAGTTTCGCTGGCTGGCTGTGGCCATTTGCACCCTGCATCCTTGTGTGGTCCTCAGGAGACGCTCGGCTACCAGCCTCACTTTCTGATTCCCACCCAAGAGCTCGGGGTGACCTCACCCCTTGTAGGTCCATCAGGTCCATTTCATCTCTCTCTTTATATCCAAACCATGGAAGTCGGTATTTCCTCCTCTCAGAGTCCCAGAAATAGGTAATTCTTTCAGCTTCTGGTGCTAACATGCACATAGTAGGCCATTTCTCTCTGGCTAATTATCACCAAAAACCTAGACAGAATCATAATGCAAACACATGCAGACTGAAGATAAGAAAGCAGGCAAATTGCAGGTGGGATTCCAACTTGAGGAACAGCTCATGTAGCCATGAGTTCCTGCATCTTTCCCTCCCACATCACCTGCTCACTCTCCAAGATGGCAATGTCCAGACCACAGAATGGGTACCCAAAGAAGAAGCTCTGGAAGAAACCATTCCTCCCTTCAGAGTGACAGGAGGAAACTTAGGGCTCTGCCTGGAGATGACAGCAGGAACCACACAGGCACTGAAAGAAAAACCCTTCTCTTTGATGAGAAGCTGGGGACATAAGCCTCTAAGCTCCAAACAGAACAGGGGAATGCCGATTATTCAATCATTCTCTCTGCGTCTCTCTGCCTCTCTGCCCCCAAACCCTCCCCTCTCCCTCTCCCTCCTCATATTGCTGCTTTGTTTCAGATACAAGCCCCTGTAAAAGATAACACAGTAGTGGGGGGAAAATCTTGCAATTCTAACCAAAAGAGAAGACTGCAGAATGGCGGGGTGTGTGGGTAAAGAGAGCTGAAGACAGGAACACCCTAAATCCGTGGATGAGATTCTGGTTTTGCACCAGCGTGAAGTTGATCAGAGGAATTTTGAGGATCAAAATGCATATGGACCCCAGCACAGGCCCATCCAGTTCTCAGGCACACACATGGGGTGGACCTACAAAGAGCACAGAGACTGAAGTGGGAGTCAGCACCCACAAAGCATGGGTAAGAACTTTTGATCTGAATTTAACCAGGTTAACTGTTTGCTTTCAAATAAAATCACACAGAAGATTTGAATAAGTGTCCATTATAATATTCAAAATACACAGGATAAACTAAAGTATGTGTGTGTGTGTGTGTGTGTGTGTGTGTGTGTGTGTGTGTGTGTGTGTGTGTTAACAGGATTAGAAACTGGCCAGGTAGGACAGAGCTCCAAAGCATCAGCTCTGAGAATGTCCTTGCTTTGCAGATGTGAAAATTTGAGTTCAGATCTTAGAGCCCATGCAAAAATGTGGGTGTGACCATTGGTCTATTCACCAAAACCCCAGGGTTCTGAGGGACAAGGACAGGAGGATTGCTGGGGCTTACTTACAGGCTAACAGCACAGCTCCATGTTCAGTGAGAGCCTCTGTCTCAAAGAAATAGATGAAGAGTGACAAGACACCCAGTTGCCTCCTCTGGACCCCACACTCATGTGCACAGGCACACACATGGACACCCATGAGTAAAGAGTAAAAGCACATAGATTACATGCAGATACACCAATCGTACTTATACAAACACACACAAAAAGAAACAAAAAGGCCGGGCGGTGGTGGTGCACGCCTTTAATCCCAGCACTCGGGAGGCAGTGGCAGGCAGATCTCTGTGAGTTCGAGGCCAGTCTGGGCTACAGAGTGAGTTCCAGGAAAGGTGCCAAGCTACAAAGGGAAACCCTGTCTTGAAAAACCAAAAAAAAAAAAAAAGAAAAGAAAAAAGAAAAAAAGAAACAAAAAGAAAAAGGAAAAAAGAAAGTGTTGTACCTATCCAAGTATTCACTGGTCGATTCCAGAACATGATGCAATTGCCCAGTAAACAGGTAGAGAAAGATGGTTAGAAATTGGCTGGACTCTACTTCTGGCAGCTGGATTTAGTGATGTCAGTTAAAGCACTGGCTGAACTCACCATGTCCCCACAAAGATGAGGGAGCTGCAAGTACCAAGTGGGACAGAGTCCACTTGCTGGCCTTGAAGGGAGAGGAAGGGTCCTGAGGTAGGGACTGCAGATAGCCTTTCAAGATTGGGAAAGGTGGGGACTGGGCATGCTAAGAGTAGTGTTCTGGAATATTATTTTAAGATGTATGGAATTTGTTTATGCTGTGAAACTTTTGTTTAATGATGCAAACATTATGTTGCATTCTTCTATGTTGCATTTGTTTAACTCTGTGAAGCTGTGTTACTTTGCCTGTCTAAAGCACCTGATTGGTCCAATAAAGAGCTGAATGGCCAATAGGGAGGCAGGAGAAAGGATAGGAGGGACTGGCAGGCAGAGAGAATAAATAGAAGGAGAAAAAGAGGGATCAAAAAGCAAGAGAGATCAAGGAGCGAGAAAAGAAGGGTCCAGCCACACAGCCCACACAGCCATGGAGTAGGAGTGAAAGCAAGATTACAGAAGTAAGAAAAGGAAAAAGCCCCGAGGCAAAAGGTAGATGGGATAATTTAAGTTAAAAAAGCTGGCTAGAAATAAGCCAAGCTAAGGCTGGACATTTATAAGAAATAATAAGCCCAATAAGTGTGATTTATTTTGGAGCTGGATGGAGGGCCCCCCAAAGAGCCAAGAGTAAAGAGTAAAAACAAACAACAGAGGAGTGCAGCCCAGCATCTTCACCTTCAGAACTTCCGATTCCCAGACTGTAAGACAACAAATCTGTGTTGTTTTAGCCCAGGAGGAGAGCGTGGATCATTCCTTTTAAATTTTCGTCTTTTACCTCTTGGTTCTGAAATACATTTGCATTGGCAGAGGAAAAAAAAAAACAAATCAGACAAAAATTATCCAGATTTCCCAATTTCTCATTTTCCATTTTTATGGAAGCATATTTGACAAATAAGAGTTGTGTAGATTTAAAGTGTGTGGCTTGATGGTTTGAGCTAAGTTTATAGTGTGAGATGAGGGCAGCCAAGGCAATTAGCATGGCCATTACCGGATGTGGTTATCACATTCTTGTCTCTTTAGACATGATATAAATAAACACTTACGATCTACCACTTCTCATGCTTCAAGTATACAATATAGCACTGTCTGTTATGTCACAGCTATAGGCAGTGCCTCAGGACCTGTTTATCCAGCCTGACTGAAGCCTTGTGCCATTTCACCCAGCCCCCCTCCCTCTCCCACCACTAACCCCAGTGGCTGCCATTTCCTCTCTGCTAACTCACTGTGTATGTGGCCATTTGTTACAGTAGTGATAGAAAGATAGGACAGATGTTCTAGACTTTTGTCTCCATAGTTGATACAGAATCGGTGGAGCCCAAGAGGCTTCTTGAGATATGGGAAGTCTTTTACCCAATCCCTCATGGTCTCAACCCAGATTGATCATTGCTTAGATGGTACAACTTAGCTGTTTCTCCTCACAGACATTTTGAGGAATGTTTCCACTGCTAGGAACCCCAAGAATGATGACTTTAGACAGAGCCCCTTTAGTCTCTATAGTGTGGGAAGCACCAGAAACTCTTGTCTTATTGGAGGATGAACAAATGTAAGAATGTTGGTGCAGTTGCAATAACATTGCCCAGCATCTTAGGTACAAAGGTAGAGCCACACCCTCAGAGGGTTTTGAGGAACATGCCCCGGACCTCACATGTCTAAGCTACTATCACAGCCCTGAGCTCCCCACCCCTGGCATTTGCCTCCAATTCTCAATAGTCTATCTTGACTTCTATCACCTCTTATTTCCAGTTTCTTTTGCGAGTGAAACTCAATCCACACGAGTTGTGACAGGCGAGTGCCCATGGCAAATGAGGATCCATGAAGCAAATCCAATTCTTCTGACACACTGCTCGTTACTTCCCTGGGGCACTGCTGCCTGCAGGTGCATGGAGATTCTCAGCATCTGGTGCCCTATCTGCCAGAGTGCTGGAGCTGTCTGTGGTGCTGACCTGGCCCTCCTGCCTGCCTGGGTTCATTTCTCCTCCAGCTCTGAAAAGACTTTCATATGGTTGCCTGTGATGTTGGAAGTGGCCTGTAAAGTAAAGACTATGGGTCTCATTGTGTACGCTCCAAGATCTGTTCTTTCTGCTCAAAGCCAGCCTGGACACAAGAACCACCAACAATTTCTCTGTTTTTCTTGCTTGGCAAGAGAACTCACAGCATTAGGAGAAACACCCAACCAGAAATAATAGGTCCTATTAGCTATTCATTTCTGCTTAGTAAATTAACCAAATTTAATGGCTTAATCAGAGACTAGAGAAGTAGCTCAGCAGTTAAGAGTATGTACTGCTCTTTCAGAGGAACGACCCAAGTGTGGTTCCCAGCACCCATGTCAAGTAGCTCACAACCACCTGCAGCCCCAGATCCAGGGATCCTATGCCCTCTTCTGGTCCTGTATGGGCAATGCCTTCAGATGCACCCCCATACCACATACATACCCCATAATATGATTAAATATAATACAAAATAGATCTTTAAAGTTAGTGGCTTAAACAACAGTGGATTACCATATCTTGTGGTTCCATGAATCAGCTGGGCAGTTCTCTTCTTCCTCTTGGGCCAGCTGGAATCTGGTGGAGGGTCCCTTGGATCTTGGGACAGTTGAGACCACTGAACCCTCTCTTTATGTAACCTACTATATGCCCTTGCTAGATGATGGGAATATAAAACTGGATAAAACAAATCCATTGGAGAGAGAAGATGATGGAGGATACTGAGGCATGGTTGGCCAGAGTCTCCAGGGCATAATCTGAGGGCAGCTGAAAAACAAGTCTAGACATGCCCACTGAAGCAATAGTGG